AGTTCTGCTCAAGGGCACGTGCCTCGGTCGCAGGCTCGATGGAAGGCAACCGGTTGATGTGTTATCTCTCTGACATCAATGTTTCTTCTCTCTCTCTGTGTCTCTCCCTCCCTCCACTCTCTCTAAAATTCAGTGGAAAAATAGCCTCAAGTGAGGATTAACAACAACAAAAAGAGAGAGAAAGAGACAGATAGAAACAGAAGAGGGGAGACAAAAAGAGACACCGGCAGAGAAAGGGGGAGATAGAGAAGGAAGGGGAGACGGGAGCAGGTTGATAGACAGAAATGGAGGTGCCGAGAGAGGAGAGACGGAGAGAGGGGCCCGTTCGGCGATGATTCTCTGGCCCCTTATTACGGACCTGGCAGACCTCCTGTTCCCCCTCCTCGCCCGGCCCCTGGGGCAAGACTGCTCTCCGCCAGCCCAGCCCTGTTGGGTGTGTGTGTCCTGCATACCCGCCCGTGAGTGGGACGTGTAGCATTCAGTTTAGCAGGGGGTGCACTCAGGGAGGAAGGAGATGCGACCGACTTCTGGGGCAAGGAGCGTGCGCACAGACACCCCCAGCACCCCATCTGATGTGCGCTTGATATCCAATGGTCGGAGGAGCCAGACGCCTCCGCTACATCCCCTCTGGGCGTTACTGCAGGAGGTCCCCACTAGGAACATTCTGGCAGAGGGATGGGTGCAGAGCAGATAGAGAACATCAAACTGATAATGGTGCCAGTGTCTTTCTAGGAGATTCTGGAAGCCCCTGTCCCCCACGAGGTTAGTGGTCTGGGGATAGAAACCCTCTTGTAGGCAGAACAAGGACTATATTGGTGCATCTCACCGGGGTTCAGGTGTTATGTGGCCTTCGGGCTCAGCGGGATTGAGGTGCTCAAATGATGTTTTTAGGACCCGGGTCTCTCTCTCTCTCTCTCTTTTTTTCCTGCTTTCCTGTGCATTCTTTTATCCTTATGCAGCATCTTCATCTGTGTTCCCCGGAATCAGACCCCGAGACAAGGATCGGATTGCGAGTAACTTATTTTGGGAGCGATCTCAGAAAACTCCGGGAGGGGAGTGGGGCAAGGGGGGCAGGAAAAGGGAGGAAAGCAGCAAAGGACGAATTGTCCTGTGTCAGGGCTCAGTCTGCTGGGGCCTCCGGGAGACGGTGAGGGACTTGCACCCCAGACTTAGCTCCTTTGAGGGGCAATAGAGACCAGGTATTTGCCCACTCACTATGACCAGTCATTGGTTCAAGGGTGTGAATTGTCTGGCACATCCAGACTTCCCTGCATGTGGAAAAGTCCTGCCATCACCTTGATCTTGTACTTGTGGCCTCTGGAACCGCGAGGCACTGGATTCCCGCTGTTTTCCGTCACCCAGCTTGTGGCAGTCTGTTACAGCAGCCCGAGCAAACGAATACACCCTATTTATCAACTTTCTGTCTTTCCCCTCTTTCTCCATCTTTTCCCCATCATCCATTGGTTCCTTTATTTACCAAATATTTCCTAAAGCTTGACTCACCTGATGTCATACATGAAAAACCCATATATCTTGCCACAGAGAGCCGAGGCCCACAAAACCCAAAGACACAGAAAACAAGATGATGGTTTACAATCCCAAAGGGACCAGGACCTTTCTCTTAGGAGAATCAGCAGCTGCCTGAAGGTATTAAAGATGGTAGCATCGAGCTAGACTTTCTCCAAAGGATCCCTAGAGGAAGAGGATTGAAGGGAGCGAGGTCACGATGCTCACCTTCTCTCTGCTCCTTTGCACACACCCACTCACTCGGGGCCAGCATCCCCCCTGAGTGTCTCTTTGTCCCCTCCTCTCCGACCCGTTCCTCAGCTCCTTCCCTGATTCTCTGGCTGCCTCCTGGCCTTCCTGGCCTCTTTCTGCCTCTCCAGCCCAAGCTCCACCCAGCAACCAGAGGGCTCTTCCAAATCGCTTTTTATTTCAGGAGTAATAAGTGAATTGGTTCCCATGATAAAAAGTCAAAGCAAGGCAGAAATATGTGGAGTGGAGTTGGGAAACACAATCCAACCATATCCTGCCTCCATTCTAAACTTCCCTGTGGCTCTCCGTCCTCCATCCTCAACTTTCCTATGGCTCTCCGTCCTCCGTCCTAAACTTTCCTTTGTCTCTCCATCCTTCTCTGTGTAAACCCCAAGGCCACCCATGTTGAAGGTTCTGGTCAGGCCCTGCCCACTCTTCCCCAAGACCCTCCCTCCAGCCACTCCAATGGTTGCCATTTTCAGCCCTTCAACCCTCTCTCCCTATCTCTGTACCTCGCTCACCTCAGGACCTTTCCACATGCCATCCACACCCAGGATGCTGTTCTCTGTCCCCTTACACCAGTTCATCCTTACTCACCCCCAGTTTGATCGCGGTAAGACCTTGCCTTTGGCTGCTCTCACCCAGTGCAGATCCTGGGACAAAGGTTCCAGTGTGTTCATTTCCTACATCTGCCATAACAGAGTACCACACACTTGGAGTTGGGAAACACAATCCAACCATATCCTGCCTCCCTTCTAAACTTTCCTGTGGCTCTCCGTCCTCCGTCCTCAACTTCCCTATGGCTCTCCATCCTCCATCCTAAACTTCCTTATGGCTCTTTGTCCTCCATCCTCCATCCTAAACTTCCCTATGGCTCTCGATCCTCCATCCTAAACTTCCCTATGGCTCTCGATCCTCCATCCTAAACTTCCCTATGGCTCTCGATCCTCCATCCTAAACTTCCCTATGGCTCTCGATCCTCCATCCTAAACTTCCCTATGGCTCTCGATCCTCCATCCTAAACTTCCCTATGGCTCTCGATCCTCCATCCTAAACTTCCCTATGGCTCTCGATCCTCCATCCTAAACTTCCCTATGGCTCTCGATCCTCCATCCTAAACTTCCCTATGGCTCTCGATCCTCCATCCTAAACTTCCCTATGGCTCTCGATCCTCCATCCTAAACTTCCCTATGGCTCTCGATCCTCCATCCTAAACTTCCCTATGGCTCTCGATCCTCCATCCTAAACTTCCCTATGGCTCTCCGTCCTCCATCCTAAACTTCCCTATGGCTCTCCGTCCTCCATCCTAAACTTTCCTTTGTCTCTCCATCATTCTCTGTGTAAACCCCAAGTTCATCCATGTTCAAGGTTCTGGTCAGGCCCTGCCCACTCTTTCCCAAGACCCTCCCTCCAGCCACTCCAATGGCTTGCCATTTTCAGCCCCTCAAACCCTCTCTCCCTATCTCTGTACCTCGCTCACCTCAGGACCTTTCCACATGCCATCCACACCCGGGATGCTGTTCTCTGTCTCCTTACACCAGTTCATCCTTACTCACCCCCAGTTTGATTGCGGTAAGACCTTGCCTTGGGCTGCTCTCACCCAGTGCAGATCCTGGGACAAGGATTCCAGTGTGTTCATTTCCTATATCTGCCATAACAGAGTACCACACATGCAACTTCCCTATGGCTCTCCATCCTCCATCCTAAACTTTCCTGTGGCTCTCCATCTTCCATCCTCCATCCTCCATCCTGAACTTTCCTATGTCTCTCCATCCTCCATCCTCAACTTTCCTATGGCTCTCCGTCCTCCGTCCTAAACTTTCCTTTGTCTCTCCATCCTTCTCTGTGTAAACCCCAAGGCCACCCATGTTGAAGGTTCTGGTCAGGCCCTGCCCACTCTTCCCCAAGACCCTCCCTCCAGCCACTCCAATGGTTGCCATTTTCAGCCCTTCAACCCTCTCTCCCTATCTCTGTACCTCGCTCACCTCAGGACCTTTCCACATGCCATCCACACCCAGGATGCTGTTCTCTGTCCCCTTACACCAGTTCATCCTTACTCACCCCCAGTTTGATCGCGGTAAGACCTTGCCTTTGGCTGCTCTCACCCAGTGCAGATCCTGGGACAAAGGTTCCAGTGTGTTCATTTCCTACATCTGCCATAACAGAGTACCACACACTGGGGACTTAAAGCAACAGGCGTTTATTCCCTCGCAGCTCTGGGGGTGGGAAGCCCAAAATCAAGGTGTGGGCAGTGTTGGTCCCTTCTTGGGGGCTCGGGGAGAATCTGCTTCGTGCCTCTCTCCTGGTTCCTGGCCGTGGCCACAGCCCTCGGCGTCCCGTGACTTGCAGAAGCCTCCTTCCCATCTCTGCCTCGGTTGTCACATGGCCCTTCTGTGGCTCTTCCCCTTCGCCGGCTGAGGGCCGCTGTGAGAGGTATTAGACCAACGGTTCTCAACCTGTGGTCGCGACCCCTTT